GTCAGGTGGCAGAAAACTAGTACGATGTATCAATTTGCATGCCAGGTAGCAGAATATGGGTATCATGTACATGCCAGGAGGCATAACGCTTGTAAACATGCCAGGTGGCATACGGCTTGTAAATAAATGTATAGTAAAATATCTTGGTGCAATAGATCAAGGAACACGCATCAACAACCTTCTGATCATTTGGATACGTACAATTGCTATAACATGTAGATGTGCACCTCGTATTTTGGTTGCAATTGGCCGCACCAAACATATATAAATATATTTATATATATATCCACTCTGTTACCCAGCTCGGTGATCTCACTTTCTTTACTCTTATATGTTTGTAAATTGTACATTTTTTGCTTTAAAAATGATTGAATTATGTTGTTCTTATCTTCCAGTTAAGGTTTTTATGCCTTTGGTATATCTGTATGCAATATTTTTATTAATATCAACAATTTTAAAGTTGTTTAAGTGGCGCTAAGCCTAATACTTTTTTTAATGGCGGCCATTGCTTGTTTACATTTGAAACAGCAGACTAGTGGATTTGTTGCCAATCTAGAGAAACTTAGCTTCGCAACAACAAAGATAGCGCCTTCATTTATGATTGTGAATTAAATCATGCTTAATCCTTTCTGGAAATTTTTCGAGGAAATAAGTGTTTAAGATTTACTTCATAATTTTTAATACAGATATTTTGATTTTTTTTATGTATTTTGCCTTGTCGCGAAGTGAGAACTGAATTAATCGATTGAGAAATACTCAATCGTCTGTGAAAAACTGTTTCTTTTTTTGTTTTGTTTGCTTAATTTCTTTATACATCGTTCTAGCTTTATTATAGTATTTGAATAGAACATGTGGCAACGATTAGATAATTCCTTTTAAATGATATAAATTTTGTGCATTCTGTGTTATAATATGAACAAAATATATACTGTTAAGTGAATCTAGCGCCAGAGTGTCGCTATGGTAAACAAATAGAGTGAATGCATTTATTCTATTGTGGTTTATGCGCTGTCGGCAAAGCAGATTTAATTCAATACAATAAGTTTAAATGAAATGCAAGAAAAAATGTGTATAATTTAATATTCCCTACAAGGAAGTCATGTGGTGTACACATCAGATTTTTTACTTTTGGTATTTTGTTTCGGAATGAGAGTGAGATTCATGCGTGGGTGCTGAGCAATGTAATGTTTCTTTAACAGCATCTATAAACAAATGCACATGTTCTTGCTGCATTGAAGTACTTTTTATTTTTATTTTTGTGATATAATGGGATAGATGTTCTATCATTAGATTTTTTTTTGATTACTCTTTGAGTTTTGCGGGATTGAGACGAATAGAATATTTTGTATTTCTTAGTGAAAGTTTTTTTTTTTTTTAAATGGCAAAACGAAAGCATTATCTGGCCACAGAACAACATATACAAATGCTAAATGAGTCAAATTTGCTGAGTAAAATAGCAGCAGATATTCTATTCCTGTGACATATGCAGCATTGGACTTTGCGTACATCCATGTTTCAAAGAATATCATACACTGCCACTTTTTTAAAATACTGCTGCCTTTTCGTTGTTTGCACGTTGAATTTTCATGAAAGACAGTTTTAATATTTTTTAATTTTAACTATGTGTTGTGTTAAATAAAATCTGCAATTGTTTGGATATTTTTCCATATATATTTATTTGGGATAAGAAGAAATTATATATCTAGAATGAGTATTTTATAAAATTTTTAAGGAAAATATAATGATAAAGCTTTAAAATCAAATCTGACAACTAGCTGAATGTTCTTCTCATAATGTACCAAAAATTGGAACAATTGGATGAAAAATTTAATTTATACGAATGTTTTTCCAAAGTTAGGCTTAGCAGTGCGAATTGCCCATCCCCACAATATGATGCATCTGGTTAACGCGCCGTCCCAAGACAACGCTTCCGTAATACAGATGCCCATCGTGAATGGGTTAAATGCCCCAACCCCTACAGGTGATCCAAGAAGCCGTTAACCTATCGGTCGAACCGATGAGCTAAGACTAAGCTGATTTGGCAGGAAGAATTAGCAACTCACATTCCACTTCTCCGTTCTGAAGGGATGGTAAAAACATCTGCCATCAACAGGGACCCCCAACACCGGACAGCAGAACGAAGCCACTTAAACACTGTCAGACATACTAGGCCACCAATCTGGCTTGCTAATACTACGTCATGGTATACAAATGTCGGCTTTAGGCGCCCCCAGAGGGAAACCATGGAAATATATGAATATGCAGTTTTGAGGCTCCCTTCAAGCAGTTTAAAAAACTCGCTGAATTCGCCAACTCCACCGAACAGGGGTATTTTTGCCCGCACAACCATGAATATCTGACTATATAGCTCAACCACAACCGGACAAGAATGCCATATAGTCCCTGCCAAGCCTGAAACAGCCATTGCTAGCGATGACTCAGTCCTGTCGAGACTGATTTTAAACACCTGTGGCCGAGACTGCCTAGGAACATATCCTAATCAGTAGCTTCCCAGGTTCTACCTGAATCAACCCCCCCAGGGAGGGGTGTTCAAATAAGATAAGATTTTTCTGTTCAGACAGGCAGTGAGATGAACTACTTGTTTCAAAGATTGCATGGCGCCTTTTTGACTCGACGCCATTGTGCACCGCACAACCTTGCACCTATTGTTGCCGCGGGCCTGCGTGCACAACTGCAATGCTCCTTAGAATCCATTTATAAAGGGAGGAAAGACTGCTGTTTTGAATAATGTGAATTGTTCTCTCATGAAATTTTGTGTGTGTGCAGCTTCAGTATGCCTCATCGAAAAACATGTACAGCATTGAAGCATGTTTCCTAGTTCAATTGAGGCAAAATTGTTGCATACAAGGATTGCAGATTATCCTTCCAGGAAATTGGTCATTGTGCCGGATGCAGGCAAGCAAAAGTTATTTGAATATGAAATCGGTGAATGCAGAAGGGAATGATTGATGGACAGAAGCTATTAAAACCACCTTATCACTCCACTCCATGGGAAGAACAGGTATATTGTGTGCATGGCACTGATGGAGTACACTGCCACATCTGCAATTAAGTCACAATGAATGCAGTCTGTAACATAACAATCTGCATGAACAATTCAACATCATTTATAGTACAATGGACTGTCTGCTAGACATCAAATACCACTTACTTTTAATTTTAAACCACAGGTGTTTGCAATGGTGCACTGAGTGGTGGAAATGGACACCTAAACTGCATTACGTGTTTTCGGACAAATAATGCTTCTGCCTGCAGTACCATGATGTTCAAATTAAGAGTTTGGAGACACAGTGGAAAGAGGATGCTTGAATGTTGTGTTATGCATCATCATACTGATCCTATACGCAGTGTTATGGTGTAAGTGGTGTTGTATTCTACTCCCACATCCCCTTAGTATGCATTATCAATACACTTAGTGGCCAATGCTATATCTCTGAGGGTTTGCAGCCTGTTTTCCTTACCTTCAAGGCTTGCCTGTGACCACATTTCAACAAAGCAATGTGCAACCACATATTCCACACAATGTGCAACCACATATTCCACACAATGTGCAAGCTTTCTTCTTAGCCCAATATACTGCACTATTACAGTGGCCCGCTCGTTCCTCAGATCTATTGTCCATCGAACATATCTGGTCTGTACTCTGAAGAACGATCAGCCCGGCATGCTGCACCCACAGGTACAACAGATAAACTTTGGCTACATGTGAGAGCAAAATAGGCTGCCATTCCCCAACAGCCCACCTAAAGCCTCTTTCACTCAATGCCATGGCATGTAGCAGCGATTATTAACAAATGTGGAGGCTAAACTCATTACTAATTTTCTCATTTTCTTCAATTCGAAGGCTGTACTTTGAATCAATAAACACTGATATTATTTATAATCTCTGAAATAAATTCGGCTTTGATACTTTTTGACTTTTTTCGTTCTGCATTTTAGATGACCAGCAGTGTATATCAAAGAGAAAAATTACTTCAACAGCCAACCATAGTCACCAACTTTTCTATTTAATTTAAATCTATGTATTTATTTTTATTCAACTCGTCATTTCTTTCTGAAAGGAATGCTCGAGATCACTGGTCTCAAATTGGCAGCCCCCGAAACAACTTTACACCGTCTGTGAATACATTTCCCATAAATTAATTAGCATTAATATGACATTAATCATTATAGCAAAAATCTGAAGAAAGATTTTAAAGGTTTTGAGAACCTCTGTCTTTTTCATTATTATTAAAAAGGAATGTAGCACCCCAGAAAATCTACAAATGAAACTAATTAAGGATTTGAAGATACAGATTTAATTAGCTTTTTTTATGCTTGTTAAAATATATATACCTGAGTTACAAATTTTTGAGATTATAAAAACTACTTTGTTGGGGAACGCATTTATATGTGAAAGTTTTTTGGGAGGGTGGAATTAATAAATCTTAAAAAAATAGACAGATTGACCGATGAGGATCTACGATTCTCTGGATACTGGATGTCCAGACTTCATACTTTATCCATACAAAAAATTTTAGTAATCAACATAATTTCCTCTTTTCTGATAATCAGCCCTTGTTTTAATATCCCTAATAACTTATTTAATTTTCTGTAAAGCTTAGCTTTGTAAATTAAATTTAATGTTAAAGCAGAATTTGTAACTAAAAACTTTTACGTGCTAGCTGTTAAAGTGCTACTAAACTCAAATTTTAACAATTTTTTTTGCCTTTATTTGTACAGGGGAAAAAAAAAAAAAAAAAAGCTGCTTCTACTACAAGTCATTAAATAAGCACTTCTTACAATATAAACTTTCTATTTCCAGTAAATAAAGCTGTATTTGAATCTATGTTAATTATATTAAAAAAATATTGCTATGACAGTTTAGTATTTTATAAACCTACTTTAAATAACATACATAATAAAATTTTTAATTTATGACATAGATTTTAATAATCAAGGATGGCATTTTAAGTATTTTTAATGTAAAAGAAAATTACCATAAAAGGATTAACAGGATTTTGAATCCAATCAGAATGCTGTGCAGGTTCCACAGACTTCTCACTAGAAAACAGACCACCTTGCCCAAGATGACTAGAAGACCACTGTGGTATGCTTGATGGAATACCCCATGATGTCGTACCAGGAGTTGGAGAAGTGAATCCACCATTCTGCAAAAGCATCTGATTTGTTCCATACCCATTTGTTGGACTAGTCAAAACTTGAGTTGGAAAAGCAGAAAAATTGGCATTAAACTGGTTACGCACACCATCATCACTTGGACTATTACCCACCATAGGTATAGGAAATGGGGCATATACTTGACTGTTGGTTATCTGACAGTATGGAATACCACTTTCTGAAGAACTCTGGAATGGGTTAGCAGATTGAAAAGTTTGTGTTTTTGTAACTTGTGTTTGATTCCATAACTCTGTCGATGTAAAGGGATTAGAAGGTGCTGAAAACATTTTAATTTATTAATCTTAATGTAGAAAATATCATTCAGAAAAATATTTTTTAAATAGTAATTCACAAAAATAAAATTATCAAAATCAATCATTTCACAAACAAGGTTTTTTTTTTTTTTTTTTTTTTTTAAATACTTTCAATGTTATCGTCAAGAAAGTACTCACGAATTTTAACAAAATTGTGATTGGTAATGAATTAAAACACAAAGGTATTATATAATTACTGTATATGCTACGTAATGTCTGCACTTTTTTTACTAAAATGAAGGTGTGGACATTACACAGGTCGTTCAAATGTCGCTCTTTTTCTCGTGAGTAATTCTGGGTGTAAATTTCATTTCAAACAACCACATTAAGTTCTAAGTGGAAGGAAATGGCATAAGTAATAAAAATATCAAATTTAAAGTTGTCTAACAGCTACTTAAAATTTACAAACTCACTTTCTCCCATCCACAAATATAATATAAATTACTCTCTTTATGTTATCAACACTTGGCGCATATTAGTTTGCAAAGGAGCACAATATAGAGGCACAAATTAACCAACACTTGCAATTTTAGCATTTACTTTTACATAAATTAAATAAACATTGGTTCTTTTAATATCTTGCTCACATATAAAAAAAAAAAAATCTGTTCTGACGCACTGCATGGAAATCCATTTCATTTCACTATTCGCCACAAACCAGTCTTCACTCACCTTGAATTGCGATGTAGGAATGTCTTCTTCTCGTGCCTCAACAAGCGCTCTGATTTGGCACATTTTCTGTGTTACTGCATAGTGGACATTGTGTGGGTCACTTTTTTTTTTATATAAATTTTATTTGTAAAGTAGGGGTGTGGACATTACACGAGCATATACAGTATTTAAATAAATGAAAAATGAAATATTCCACTCTTAAAATTTTATTAACAAAAATTGAAGATATAATTCATAATAATTATTAAAATTCTCTCAAATACTGTATTTAAAAAATTAACCACTTTCAATATTTACCTATACTGAAAGTACTATTCCCATGATTTGACGCAGGTACATCAAAAAATGATCCAGAACTTGAAGTTTCTACTGTCCAGCTTGGTGCTTTTGTTGAAGCCGGCTGATGAAACAAGCTATCTAAATCTGCTAGTGCTGCATAACGATCGGCATTAGTCTGCTGTGTGGCTGTCACTGCAGTAGTTGTCACTTTAGGTAAAGGAGGACTGAAAGTATTAACTGCCGGTTCTTGCCGTGACTGCATAGGGTAAGTATCCAAACTTGCCGAAGATGGCAAGTTTGCTGTAGGAGCTGCAGTACTGCTAGCTGTAAAAGATGGCCACTGAGAAGGTGTTGATGTATTACCAGAACTAATAAGAGGAGATGATTTGAAAGGATTTGTGGGAGCAAAAGTTGGAAGGCTCAGAGGTCGAGGCATGGCCGTAGAATAAGTACCCACCCGAGAAAAAGAGTCTTTTCCTAAAGTCAAGGAGCGAGAGATGGCAGTAGAAGAAAGAGGATCAAGGTCATCGTCAAAAGAAGTCCAACCTGTAGGAGCACGTTTTTGGGTGGTAGTTAGTGATATCAGATGACTGCAGTTGAAGGTGTTGAAAATTAAGGAAGCAGAAGAAAATCATACATTGTGGCTATTTCTTTTAAATGTTCATTGCAAATAACTGCTAGTCCTATATTTTTAAACAAATTTAATATATATAGTTTTATTAATGTTATAGAAATTATCAAGATCTGCTTCAATGATAGAAAGGTATTACATTTAAGTAAGGGCTGTATCTAAATTATACTACATACTTGTTTTTTAATTTTTCTATTCATATTTAATTTTTCATTTTTAACTGAAATTACCATGCTCATTTCACTAGAGGGTTTAACAGAGAAGGACATGCCTCAGGGTTTTACTAAATGGTTAACATGTTAAATTTTAATACAGTCATTCCAACACATATAGAAAAGGAATTAAAATGCAGCAAGAAGAAGGTACAGATTTCCATATAGCATCAGAATACGAAGCATAGCAGGTGATAAGGAACATTGATTGAGAAAGTAATTATACACGGCCCGCCAAAGAAAATGCAACACCATGAAGGTTTGGCTTTATAAATATGCAAATTTCAGGGAATACATAGCGGAAGAACTGGTTTTTAAACATACTGGTTAAGTCATACAGATGATGTAAGATCCAAGTTGGTCATGTGATGTAGTATGAGATAAAAGGCAAAGAAATGAAGGACAAATCAACAGTCATTACTGTTTGGTGCTTGGGGAATCCAGAATTTCGAAGTTCAAGGTTCCAAAAGACATGCAAATAACGAGATGCTTGGACGATGACATGTGGGCAGTTCTGGCAAATGGACAATTTTATGAGTGCAGATTGTAGGCTTACATATGGATGGCTGCTGAAATGCGCTTAAAAATGATAGCACTGTTGATAGAATTTGGTCCAGATGGAACGATGAAGGAAATATAAATAGTCGCAAAAAAAAAAAAAAAAAAACATATACTACAGAATGCACAGATCGATGCATACAAAAAGATGCAGTGATAACCCCAAAATCGACTACTATGGATATTTAGTGAAATGGTGCTGGGAGCTTTGAATGCTCCAATATAAACCCAATAATTGGCTGATAGTGGCCTGCACATGAAGACTGCCACTAATGGCAAACTTCTGACATGAAAGACAGTGATGTCATCAGCAGGAAGTCACTTGGGCATTTAAATAGGACAGTGTGGTATTCAATAACGAGTTTCAATATTGTTTACCTGACAATAGACACTAGTTAAAGAGTCTGGAGGCACTGGGGGAGTAGAGCTAATTGAACTACTATTTCTGAAAGCCACACCGTTTGTGAACTTGGCATAACGGTTCGAGTTGCCATCAGTCACAATAGCCAAGTCACCCCTGTTGTGCATCAGAGGCACATTGACAGAAAGACGATATGTTGATGAGGTGTTGCTGATGAGGTCTATCTTACCTTCAACATCTTCAGAATGGTGTTTTCCAGCAGGAAAACACGACACTGCGCACAGCATTCATTAGCCAGTAAGTCTTGCAGCATGTCCCATTGCTTCCTTGGCCTGCGATGTCTCTTGATCTTTCACCAATCAAGCACATCTGGGACATGATTGGTCACTGTTTGCTCAGCCCCTGCCATTATTGGAGAACCAACTTCAAAGGACAGTTCAGAACATATGGGCTTCCATCCCTCAGGACACTATCCACAATCTGTACCTCATAGAGTTGCAGCTTGCATCGCCATGAGAGGTGTTAATATCTTACCGATTCCTTGTATATTTCAGTACAGTTTATTTTCCTATAAATATTACTTATTTACATATGTATGCTTTATCTGTGTATCAATTGACATCACATTCTCTTCTGTCTTTCATCGTATTGCATTTTCTATGTCGGGCAGTGTACAGCTAAACTACTCACATTAAAAAAAAAAAAAAAAAAAGAAAAGAAAGAAAAAGAACGTTAATAAAAGGAAAATTTGCGCTCAAGCCATCTGCAGATCATGCAAATCATTTACAATCATAAATTTAACAACATAATTAATTATTTAAATAAACTTTAGGATACAATACAAAACATACACATTTTTTTTTAACCTCTGTTTAACTCGTGTTGGACAATAATCCAATAAAATGTCATCTGTGAAAACATGATCAAGTATGCTAAGGAAAAAAAAAAAACTCAGTGTCACTGAATAGCAAAATATAGTAACAATATTAATTAAATTTGACCACTGAATAGTTTGCACTGTCTGTACAAGCATAATTACTATTATGTTATACTGATTTTAGAGAAATATCACACAACAGAATAAGGCAGAAACTACACTAAAATAATAAAAATTTCCAAAGTCAATTGAATGACCTGGATACATCCATAATAACATATAAGTCCTCTTTTAGCAATGAAGACAGCCACAGCATCAAATCCAATAATGTCGGAAGAACTTGAAAATATTCCTCTTACAACAATTTCATTTTAGTCATTTGGACCCAGATTCATGGATCTGATGCTTCATTCAATAGCACTTTGAAAAACTTCAACAAGATTAATAACTAGAGTCCTTGGGAGCCATTCAACAGTCTCATGACTAAGTTACTTTGGTCTGGTAAGCAATAACCCAATATAATACCACAATATCCCCTAATAAAAAGAAAATCAATTACCAAATTCTAATAACACATAATAATTGAAGACTTTTGCACATACTGGGAATGCTTCCCTTACTATTAAAAACAGTAATGTGGCCTGAACAGAACCACGATGATTGGATGGGTCCTGACTTCATGTTGTTGACAGCCTCTTGATTTCAGTTTAGTATAGCAGGAACCAAAACTCACAAACCATACAAATCGGCAAGATTCTGGAAAATCTATTTTTTAAGTTACATTTGTCAGCACAAATCAATAATGATGCATGAACAGGATATCAACTTCTATGGATTTGAATAGCCTGTTCAAAATTAGTACACAGAATTGAGTCTCGTAACACAAGTACTATTGCTTCTACTATGGTCTGTATTAGTATACAATCTACAGTGGAACCACGAGATATGAATTTAATTTGTTCCATCATTAAGCTTGTATAGCGAATTTCTCGTATCTAGAAACAAATACTGAGCTCGTATAGCGAATTTTTTATATCTAGAAATAAACATCGAGCTCGTATAGTGAATTTCTCGAATCTAGAAACAGACTTGAGCTCGTATAGCGAATTTTTTATATCTAGAAATAAACATCGAGCTCGTATAGTGAATTTCTCGAATCTAGAAACAGACTTTCCCATTAAAAATAATGGAAATCTAGTTAACCCGTTCCACACCCCAAAAAATCTCATTACCATCTCATATTCAGTCGATGTACCTGATGTTTTTCGGAGAAGGTCCAAATAAAGATTAGCCTTAGCGCAAATGATAGCTTCCAACACTGAATTGTCTTTTAACTACTTTTTGTTAATCCACATCAACAACAGATTTTCCACATCTTCTAGGATTTTTGTATGATGCTTGGATGTAATGGTAACTCCTTTGGCCACATCAAGTTTCTTAATTTCTTCTTTAGAATTGTGCAAATTGTCGATGTCAAATGGTCGTAAGTCTTCGCCAATTCCGTTACTCTTACATCACGTTTACGTTTGTCTATTATTTCTCTCTTAATTTCAATGGCTACAGCTTCCTTGGTTTTCTTTGCTTGCAGCTCTTCTTGGTAGGCATTGTGAAATAATTCTTTTTACATTAAACGTAAAAAAAAATTAACTTGCAAGCATACAAACATGTAGATTAAAGAATACTGAGTGATCTGACAAGGGGACTTCTGGAGTCGAGCCAGACTGGAAAATGATGCACGCATACCAACAGCCTGGCTCGTTACTTAAGTCAATGCTTGGATTTAGAGACTAATTTTTTGCTCATGCTTTCCTTGTATATAGAGGTGCTCGTATCTCGAGGTTCCAGTGTATACTGATTCCTCTCATTAAGGACATGATCAAACATCATTTACTCCTTGGGTCCTGATATATCTCTGAAGGGAAAACAAGTCCATGATTTTGGGCACATCAAAGAAAGAATAACTCACTAACCTTGAGCTAAAAAATGCATTCAAATGATATTCAAATAGTATTAGGTGTACTATAGTCTCTATAAGCCACAACCCATTTATGCGGACTGCAATCATTTTGTTCAGTTTCCATTCAGCTAGTAGTTGCCAGTACACATTTCCCATCACTCCTATTCCTATTGTTCTAGCCATACAGTGTAAATTATGCTGTTGATACAATCTTGTTAAAGAGCAAATAAATTAACAGACAATTTTTAAAAATTGAAACCAGGTATAACATTGGCAGTAATCGTGATCTATATAACAATACTGTTACATCAACTTAATCATTGTTGAAAGCACAAATCAGTCATGAGGCATGCATACTTTTAGTCAATCCCAAATTTTACTTAAATTTACATGCTTGCAGTAGTTAATGTCTGACTTAACTATATTCTTAACAATAATTAAAAATAAAATATCATTTCATATGAAACAGTTAAATGTAAAAATGTAAAATATAAAGCTTCCAATTAGAATAATAAAATATTCTCGGAAATTTAAAAAAAAAAATTCTTTCCTTATGCTTCACTAATTTAAAAAAAAAAAATGTCAAATACAGTATCAAGTCCGAGATCCGAACTGGTCGTGACTTTGGAGAATCTAGATTTTTCCAGATATTAGATCATCTGTTTAAATATAGCAAGATAACAAGTAGCAACTATAAAATTAAAAATATGAAATAGTTGTTTACAAAATAATGAAGCTTTTATATGCTTTTGAGGAGAAAAAATTACCTTTATTAAGCATTTCTTTCAATGTAAACTATTTTACATGCTTTTCATGCTAATACACTGATTTTATAGACAGATATAATTTCTTATTCAGTAACCAAGTTCCACTGCTCAGTCCTGACCCTGCCGCGTCAAGAATTCTTGCTAAACTGTCAATTAATATTTTTTCATTCTCAGCAAGTTTTC